TTCCCTGACCAGAGATTGAACCCAGGCCCCCCACACTGAGAGCATGGAGTCTTATCCACTGTGCCACCAGGGAAGTCCCAAAAGATATTTATTGATGTAGCACAATTGTTCAAATAAGTGTTGAATGAAGGTGTAATAAAATAAGTTGACATCTAGTGATTTCCTCCTATATTCCAGGAACTGTGTTGTCTTAAGACATATCGCTCTAGAATGTGAATACTATTATCCCCATTTTACCGATGAGGAAAGGGAAACAGAGGGTCAGCAAGGTGAAATCACTTCCTAAGATGACACAGCTAGCAAGTGGCAGAACAAGGATATGCATCCAAGGTTATCTGTCTGCAAACCCTGCATCCATTTATTCAACAAATATTTATTATAAGCTCACTATGTGCCAGGCACAAGGCAAAAATCTCTGGAGAGGGACAAACAACAATGGAACAAATAAATTATATAGTGTGTTACAAGGTGTAAGTGCTGCCAAAAAGATAGAACAGAGGAAGTGGGGGGAGTGGGAGTGGTTTGGGGGTAATTTTGAATAGGGCAATCAGAGTAGGCCTCCAGCAGGTGATATTTGAGCGAAGACTCGATGGAGGTGTGGATATCGGCAAGAAGGCTTCCAGGAAGAGGTAATAGCTAGTGCAACATCATCCGGCTGGAAGGAAATGAATCAGTAGGCAAATCGGAGATTAGATTATAGGGGTGGAGGTGGAGAAGAGATCATGTAGAGCCTTGTAGGCTATTTAAGTTTTTGGCTTTTTACTGAGGGGAAAATGGGGAGCCTTTAAACAGTTCCGAGCAGATGAGGAAATGATCCGACTTAGGTTTTAAAGGATTCCTTTGTTTCGATAGGGAGAAGAACAAACTGCAGAGGAGACAAGAGACCATTCTGTTTCTAAACCATGAGCAATTTTTTTTTCCTTTTTTTTTTTCATGAGCAATTATTTCTCAGCTCCACGTCACACTCTTTAGTTACGACTTGACCGGAAGAAACGTGGACTCAGCTTGCAAACTAGCGCCTACACGAGAGCGGCTCCAGCCCAGCAGAGGGAAGCAACTCTGAGAAAGGTCCTCCAACACACAGCAGTGCCCTCCTTTAACTAACTCGTTTAAAGGAAGCTTCCTGTTGGTTGGAATGGCACCGATATCATCCAATGGTTGTCTGTATCAATCCGGCTCCTCCAGACAGACGTTGACCCCAGCCAATAGATGGGGGGGTGCTGTCCGCAGCTTCTAATTGGCTGCTTCGTTCACCTATAAAATATGCGAGCCGCAGAGAGGCCCTTCTCTCGTCAGGCGTCCTGGAGTGAGGTTTGTTCGTGCTCTGCAGTCTCGCCCGGGACTGGCGGCGGGGACGATGCGGTTCTTCGGGGGTTCTTTGGGGGGGGGGGGTGCTTCGGGACTGCAGGGTCTGGGCCTGTTTGGTCTGGGCCGCGGCGGCGGCAAGTGCAGCCCCGGGCCGGGGCGGCGGGCGCCCGCGCGTGGTCTGCTCCACGTGTGCCTTGGGCTTGGAGCCCGCCATGTCTTGGGGACTTGTGTTGGGGTGTCCTGAGCTCCCTTTTTCTCTTCAGTGACATCGTCTTTAAACCCTGCGTGGCAATCCCTGACGCACCGCAGTGATGCCCAGGGAAGACAGGGCGACCTGGAAGTCCAATTACTTCCTTAAGATCATCGTAAGTGCGGGGTGGGTCCCAGCCGCCCACCGTGCTGCTTCGGCCCTGGGCACTAACGGAGACAGTCAGCAGCCATGTGCTGAGTGCCTACTACCACATTAGGCCGTTTTAGGCAAATCTCATTTAATCTTCCCAATTTCCCGAGATGCGCGCCCTTCCTACTCCCTTTGTTGCAGGTAAACAGGCTCAGGCATGTTAAGTGGCTCCTAGGGTGACAGCATTAGCGCCCAGGTCTGTCGGCTTCCAAATAGCGCTCATCGTGCTTTTACTCCCCTACCTCCTTGTTTGGGAAGGTCTGAGGCAATGAGTGACTCATTGTAAAGTCAAGTTGTTGCATATTCGGGTCCTATTAGTCAATAAACTAAACTTAAAGTGAATGCTTTCTCTTGGATGGCCTTGAGTTGGGTCTTCCCCTGCCTAGAAATGCTAACCGTGCTGCTCTTCAGGCATTAGGATGCGTTGTAGAGTTTAGTCCATTGTATTCTTCCCCATTTATTCAGGGTTTCAGACTCACAAAAAAACTTAAAAGAATTGTAAAATGATCATATACCCACAACTTAGGTCTTACAAGCAATGTCTTACTATATTTGCTTTA